AAGTATCCATCTATTTCTTGTTGAGAGGCCTCAGGATTTACGACTCTATACTGACGACCCATACGTTCCTTTTGTTGTTTCATGTAGGCATCCTCAGCAGCACGATATTCTTTAAGAATGTTTGTAAATTTTTCACGTAAAAATTCATGCCTCTGCTTTCGGAGGATGAGGTTTGGATCGGTTGGCGGTAATCGGATGTTTTCATATTCAATCCTCTTAATACGGTCTTTTGTTCTAAATAACAGATCCTTGGTGTTGGTCATAAGCGAATTGCGTTCATTTTCATAAGTACTTTCTTGATCCTCCGAAGTGCTCCCCAATATTTGCTTTTGTAACTCCTGAATACGTCCAATATTGGCTTTAATAAAATCCGTGTTCCTCTCAATATCTGAGATTTCTTCCAAAAATTGAGAAGTTGACATTGTATCAGATTTTATTTCTCGTTGAGGATAAATTTGCGTTTATCACGTGATTATAAAATTAAGTTTCTTTTAGAGATGTTGAACTGACAAAGTGATTGAATTTAAATCAATTCGAATGTGGCTGCGGGGATGAGGAATGTCCTTTTCAAGCGGGTGCAATCAAAAATGGTAACTTGCACGTTCGATCTGGTCAACATTGTTTATTTCCATATATAACATTAAATTTTATTCGATCACGGCTGTGTCAACCTTGGGCTGGGGCAATTATCAATGAATTTGCTATTTATGATTCGACATACAAGTGCGAATTTTGTGGCGCTTAGTATCTGTAATACATAATTCTGGTGATCGCGCGACCTTTGCCATCCCTGAATTATGCACGTGCTCCTACTAATTAAATACCATTCGCGTCTCGCGTTCCTCATATACTCTTAAGATTTGTTCGCGTTTTACTACTCTAGCATACACCGTGTTCTTAGCTAAACTGAAGTTATGGATATAGAAGGAATTAATGTGCTTGATGAAGCTGAGGAAGTGGGACAAAGTACTCGTAAAAAGACAATTCGAAAAAAAAAAATTCTAGACGTGGCTGAAAAGGCGCGAGACGAATTTGCATCTGAATTTGGATACATTTTCATGGATTTTCTTGAAGAGTAAGTCTTACGAAAATACATAATAGTATAGGTTCTTTTGGTTTATTCTTTCCCGTGATTTTGACGCGTACCTTGAGTGAGTAGTTTCATGAACTATTGTTTTTGCACTTGTTATCTTCTTATGCAGCTTTT